AAAAAAAAAAAAGGGGACCAGGTTTGCTAGTCTGATAGAGCCTGGTGGAACCACTAAGACTATGGCCCCTAGCAGCCCTTCAGGTCTGAAATTGAACCCACACCTGTGGCTTCCAGCCAAAGAAAAGACAGGAATATGAGTTGAACATGTACCTGAGCTAGATACACTCCTTGGAGAGAATAATCATGGGAGAAAGAAGGGCTGTTTATGCACCGGGAGACAGCTCAGGGAGCAGGAGTGCATGGAGGGATGGACACAGGGAAGAGATTACTATCAGGAGGAAGTGGGAGAGGAGCTGCTGCATTGGGGTAAATTGTAGTCACTGTCAAGAGACAAAGTGTGTGTGTACTGCTATATGAAAAGTGAGTTTGCTCTGTAAACTTTCACTCAAATCACAATTGAAAAAAAAAAAAAAAAAAAGAGGCCTATTCTGTACTATGTTCATTTTGTTCACTAGTTATAATTCATGCAATTCTATGTCAGGCCATCTCTTTCTCATAATGAAAAACTATGTGTCCCTAAATTCCTTTTCTTTCTTGGATGCCTTAGAAAAATTACTTAGTTCCATTTTTGTGAACCAAAGAAAGAGTTTAATCCTCAGTCATTTATTACTTTTTTTATAGGTAACTACTATGTGCCAGTACAAATGGTTAAGTTCTCGACTACTGACCAAAAAGTTGGCAGTATGAACCCACCCAGAGGCTTGTGAATCTGCTTCCAAAAGGTCACAGCCTTGCAAATCCTACGAGGCAGTTCTACTCTGCACACATGGGATTACAATGAGTCGGAATCGACTCAGTGGCAGCTGGTTAGGTTTGGTTTCATGTACCAGGCACTGGGCTAGATCTCAGGAATATGTGATAAGCATAGAAGCAATGGCTAGAAACATCTTGTAATAAGGAAAAGAAAAGTCAGATTTAATGTGAGATTAGATCTCATAAACAGTGCAATCAACCTTGGAAGCGCTTAGAAGTACCTAGAAATCCTATTTACAAGCATCCTTCCAATTACCCATCCATTCTTACTAAATGTGCTTTTCTTCAACCATTAATATTCAGGATAAATAAAACAATGTCTTCTCCAATAATTGTATTTACATTTAGTTTCATTACTAGAATTGATCTCCTAATTTTTTTAATGTGGTAATGGTTTTTCTGTATTCTTAGGTTATTAATAAAAGACAAACCAAACCCCAAACCTGTTGCCATCTAGTCAAATTCTGACTCATAAAGACTCTACAGGATCAAGTAGAATTGCCTCATAGGGTTTCCAAGGCTGTGAATGTATATCTTAACAGAAGCAGGCTGCCACATCTTTCTCAAAGACAAACCACCACTTGTTAAATTGCTTCCTGGGTAAAATTGGTTCCAAATTCCCAACAATCCACTTACAAAGAAACTTCTGATATGCAACACAGTTATACAGTTACGATGACTGTTTCTTTATTCTTATGGACATTATTTGCATTGTGCATTCACTAAGGTAACATCAATGAATTGTTGTTGTTGTTATGTGCCATCGAGTCGAACCCTACTCATAGCGACCCCTCCTTGGGTTTCTGAGTCAGTATTGCTACGGAAGTAGATTGCCCAACCTTCCTTCTGAGGAGTGGCTGGTGAGTTTGAACCACCAGCCTTCTGGTTAGCAGTCAAGTGCCCTAGGCGCTATGCTACCAGAGTGATTAGTAATTTAAAATAAAAAATTATTGTGAAGATGTATGCAAATTTTCCATTAGTCCAAGAAGGAATGGATGTGGGAACTTCTGTAAAGAAGTAAAAACTGATCTGTGATATTTCTAGTGTATTTACTTTTGACTTAAGTGCAAGATACTAGTTCTAAAAAGGTTTCCACAGACTCACTGAGTTTCTTCTTATGCATGGGTCAAAAGGCTGGAAAAAAAAAAAAAAAACCCACAAAACAAACCTGTTCTACAGGCTTCTGTACACATAGAGGAAATATTAGACAAAGTACAAACCTTTTGAATATGTTTACTGACACTATGCTGAAGTTTTCATTTCAGCTAAGTTGTCTATCTTAAAGGACTCGGTTGAATCAATAACTAAGGACATTTCTCAAGGTTGGCAGAGAATGGATTAGAAACTTTTCTTAGCGTGGTGCATCTTTCTTTATGCAATGACTCTGTTGAGCAACTAACAATATATATATATACTTCCTTCCTCCCACAGAATTATTACATGCCCTCAATCCATGCCTTTAAAAAGATTTATAAAATTAGCATACGGTATCTATGTTAAGATTGCACAAATGAAAGCGTTATTGGAATGTGAATAGCTATTTTAAGATTGTCTTTCTCTTTTCTCTGCTTCATTGCCTTATATACACATATACATCTGGTCATAATGATCCTTCAACAGAACAACAGTATATGTGAGTGCAATAGGAACAAAATACCTGCTTTATTTAACTTAGAAATTCATATGAATCATTTTGTATCAAATGATAAAATTGTCTAATTTTTATTTTCATTACAGAACTTTAAAAAATCAGGTGTCACTTATTGGAGTTAACAGTAGCACTGAACTTTTAATTTAGATCTTTTTAATTAATAGTATCATTCATATTTTTATTTCCGTTACGAGGCAATGCTGTCAATTTATAATAATTTATAATAGCAAACATCACAGTGATAATTTTACATTTACTCACAATAGACAGAAACAGATAACTTTTGAATTGTCATGAAGTTGAAAGAGAAACATGAAAACAGGATACTGCTATTATTTTCTTTTTGGAAACTCTTTGTAAATAAAAACCCATGTCCAAAATAAGATATTCCATGGACACAGAATAGTTGGTAATGGCTCAAGTGCCTTGAGCAACAGAGAAGTATTGTTTTGTAGTTGTTTTTTAAAACCTCTCCTAGTAACAGCAATTCATCATGCACAAGGTATCAAGGTAATTACATGGTTTAAGCTGAGAATATAAGCAATAACTGTACATTTTCAACTAAAACTAAAGATTACCAAATCAATTCCATTTACATGAAGTGTTATAGAAAACCTAGTTGATACTCACCAAATGTTACAGAAACACCCAGGCTTGTCTAAGCGACAAAAAGCAGACACATGGTGAGGTGCTGAAGACAGCTCTCTTGGTTTCAAAGCACTTTAACCGAAGTAGCTTTTATATTCCATTTAATAGAGGTTGCCTCCTATTACCAAAGCATGGCAGAGACTTTGCACAATTCTGTCTTGACTTTCTGTGTCTCTCTCTGAAGAAACAGTTACCTCCGGAAAACTGTTAGCAGAAAACGATCACTTGAACACTCTCACAGAGCAGTTGTAAATTTCCACTCTCCCTGCTCGCTCTCCGATTCCAAGCCTTCCTTGTCTCTTAATCTGTCACAGGCAGTTCTGTTTCTGGTCAAACCAGCTTGCTTATGTGTTCTTCCTCTCCCTCTCTGACACACTCTTTTAGACACATACAACAGTCACCCAGTCAGCCCAATTCCCTCTTTTTCTTCCTCCTCCCAATTGTGCAATGTCAAAAGAATGTGTGCAAAGCAATTAAGCTGAGGCAAAATTAAATCTCGGGCCAAAAAAAAAAAAAAATCTAGAAATAAACAAAAAGTTTTTCTCATCACTCTTTTTTTCCCTTCGGTCCTATACTTGGTTCATGCCTGGGGTTTGTCAGCTGATTAAAAGGGCCTGACCATCTTGTTTAAAAATGTAAATAAAGGTTTCTAACAAAGGTGTGTTAATCATAACATTCATCTGCTAATATGTGAGCTCCTCAGGGAAGATGCAGTTCTCAATCATAATAAGAGCATGCTGCAAGTAAATACTCAAGTATTATGAATGTAATCTTCATATTTAAAAAGCAATCATGATTTTAAAATTAGAGTATTAATAATTTAATTTTGACAGTGCAATATCATAAGAACCTAATGTATGGTATAGGAGCTCTGGTAGCATAGTGCCTAAGGCACTTGACTGCTAACCAGAAGGCTGGCGGTTCAAACCCACCAGCCACTCCTCGGAAGGAAGATGGGGCAATCTACTTCTGTAGTGATACTGCCTCGGAAACCCAAGGAGGGGTTGCTATGAGTCGAGTCCGACTCCACAGCACATAACAACAACAACAACAACAACGTATGGTATATATTTTAAAACTAGAATCAACACTTGTTATAATATAATATAATATAATATAATATAATATATTATAATATAATATAATAGAAAATTATAAAGAATATATAAAAATATTGGCACCAAAAATACTAAAGTACCTCATCCCATTTATGGGCAAACTAAACATAATAATTTCATTTTGAACGCTCCCCCTGCCCCACCCAAACATTATTGGTCAGGGTGCATAATTTTTCTTCAAGGAGAATGAAAGAGGCTAAAGACTGTAAAAACATCATTTTTTCATTACTATACACATAAAACTATGGAGTAATAGATCTTAAAATTATGGATCTCTGCAAAGTGTGGGAATGAGAAATTAGGTGGAAAACTAAGTAAGATGGTTGCTGAGAGGCTTAGAAGGCATTTGCAGGATTCTCAGAATTAGGAGGCAATGTGGTGCACTGCCTAAGGCATTTGACTGCTATCCAGAAGGTTGGCGGTTCAAACTCACCAGTCACTCCACAGAAAGACCAGGCAATCTAGTTCCATAAAGATTATTGCCTCAGAAACACAATGGAGGTTGCTATGAGTTGGAATCAACTGAGTGGCAGTGGGTGTTCCTAGCCTATGAAGCTACGGTGGTACAGTGGTTAAAGCATTCAGCTGCTAACCAAAAGATCAGCAGTTCCAATCCACCAACCTACTCAGTAGTCTGCTTTTGTAAAGATTTACAGTCTTGGAAACCCTATAGGGCAGTTTGACTCTCTCCTAAAGGGTCGCTCTGAGTCAGAATCAACTCAATGGTAGTAAGTTTGGTTTTGGTTGGTACCTAGCCTAGAATACACATTGGCTCTATGAGAGTGCTAGTCAGAGGCGGCTATGGAGTTCTATTTCAGTTCCTCAACCCTGAAGACTTTTTCTCCATCTCCCACTATGTTTCCAGTCAAAATTCTTGTGCTGTTCTTCTGCTAATGGACCTTAATTACAAAGATGATGGACCAGTTGTTTTTGTTAGGTGCCATCAAGTCATCTCTGACTCACAGTGACCCTAAGTACAACAGAACAAAACACTGCCTGGTCCTGTGCCAGCCTCATGATCCTTGCTATACCTGAGCCCATCGTTGCAGCCACTGTGCTTATCCATCTCATTGAGGGCCTTCCTCTTTGTTGACCATTCACTTTACCAAGCATGATATCCTTCTCCAGAGAATGGTCTCTTCTGACAACACAACCAAAGTAGGTCAGACGAAGTCTGGCCATTCTTGCTTCCAAGAAGCACTCTGGCTGTACTTCTTCCAGGACAAATTTGTTAGTTCTTTTAACAGTCCGTGGTACTTTTAGTATTCTTTGCCAACACCATAACTCAAAAGCATCAACTCTTCTTCGGTCTTCCTTATTCACTGTCCAGCTCTCACATGCATATGAGGTGATTGAAAATACCATGGCTTGGGTTAGACACACCTTAGTCTTCAAGGAGACATCTTTGCTCTTCAACATTTGAGAGAGGTCTTTTGCTGCAGATTTACCCAATGCAATACGCCGTCTGATGTCTTGACTGCTGCTTCCATTGGTGTTGATTGTAGAACCAAGTAATATGAAGTCTTTGACAACTTCAATCTCTTCTCCATTTATCATGATGCTGCTTATTGGTCCAGCTGTGAGGATTTTTGTTTTCTTTATATTGAGGTATAACTCATACTACAGACTCTAGTCTTCAATCTTCATCAATAAGTGCTTCAAGTCATCTTCACTTTCAGCAAGCAGTTGTGTCATCTGCATATTACAGGTTGTTAATGAGTCTTCCGCCAATCCTGATGCTGTGTTCTTCTTCATATAGTCTAGCTTCTTGAATTATTAGCTCAACATACAGATTGAATAAGTATGGTGAAAGGATACAACCCTGATGCACTCCCTTCCTGATTTGAAACCATGCAGTATCCCCTTGTTGTGTTCAAACAACAGCCTCCTAGTCTATGTACAGGTTCCTCAAGAGCACAGGATTTTTGAATTCCCATTGTTCTCAATGTTATCCATAACTTGTTATGATCCACACAATCAAATGCTTTTGCATAGTCAATGAAACACAAGTAAACATTTTTCTGGTATTCTTCACTTTGAGCCAAGATCTATATGATATCAGTAATGATATCCCTCATTCCACATCCTCTTCTAAATCCAGCTTGCATTTCTGGAAGTACTCTGTCAATATACTGCTGCAACTGTTTTTTAATTATCTTCAGTAAGATTTTAGTTGTGTGTGATATTAATGATACTGTTCGATAATTTCCACATTCTGTGGGATCAGCTTTCTTTGGAATGGGTACAAATATGGATCTCTTCTAGTCAGTTGGCCAGGTAGCTGTCATCCAAATCTCTTGCAACAGTCATTAGACTCATTATCATTGGGTAACACATAAATTTCACTCTGTGTTGAAGTAAAACATCTATAAGAATAGAAACTTCATTAAAATAAAAAGTAAACATTTGTAAATAGCTATTTACAATCCTTAAGAAAAATAAGTTAAACAAATAAAAATTAGCCTTAAAATATACATTTCGTAATCTGCTTCATTTGCTATAGACCTTTAATATCTACAGTGCCCTGGTTAAGGCATTCAGCTGCTAGCCAAAAGACTGGCACCAGCCGCTCCACAGAAGACAGATGTGGCAATCTGTTTCCATAAAAGTTTACAGCCTTGGAAACCCTATGGGTCGCTATGAGTCAGAATTAAATCAATGGCAGAGGGTTTGGTTTTTGGTTTTTATAGGATGATTTGGGTTATTTCTTTACAGCAAGAGAAATAGGTATTGAAGAAGGGAAAATACTAGTCTTCAGGTTATCCCTTCAATTATTAGTTTTTTTAAAATTCAGAGTTTTGACATTTCACCTAAAAAGTACACAAATGGTCAATAAGCACATGAAATATGCTCAATATCATTACCCATTGCTGATGAGTCGATTCCGACTCAGTCACCCGGTAGGACAGAGTAGAACTGCCTCATAAGGTTTCCAAAGCTGTAAATCTTTATGGAAGCAAACTGTCACATCCTTCTCCTGTAGAGAAGGTGGTTGGTTGTAGAGAACCTGGTTGGTTCAAACTATGGTTCTTTTTGTTACCTGCTGATTGCTTTAACCACTGCACCACCAGGGTTCCTTTTCAATGTCATTAGGGAAATGCAAATCAAGACCACAATGAGATACATACCACCCCCACTAGGATGGCTTTTATCATAAAAATGAAAAATAAGTGTTGGGGAGAATGTGGAGAAAGTAGGCCCCTCACTCGTTGGTGGGACTATAAAATGGTACGGTTGCTGTGGAAAATAGTGTGGCAGTTATTCAAAAAGTTAAACATAGAATTACCACACGCTTAATGTTGTTGTTGTTGTTGTTGTTATGTGCCGTCGAGTCGGCCCTGACTCATGGCGACCCCTCCTTGGGTTTCCGAGGCAGTATCACTACAGAAGTAGGGTTGCCCAACCTTCCTTCCGAGGAGTGGCTGGTGGGTTTGAACTGCCAGCCTTCCGGTTAGCAGTCAAGTGCTTTAGCCACTATGCTACCAGAGCTCCACGCTTAACATTAAACACTTATATTAGGAAGAAACCCCCCATCCTGCCCCCAAAAATCCACTGCCATCAAGTTGATTCTGACTCACAGTGACAACACAGAACAGAGTAGAACTGCCTCATTTGGTTTCCAAAGCTGTAAATCTTTATGGAAGCAGACTGTCAGTCTCATCTCTCTCCTATGCAGTGGCTGGTGGGTTCAAACCCACCAGAGCTCCTTATATTAGGAAGAAAGATAGGTCTTAAGACAACAACTTCAGTTTCCACCTATAGAAACTAAAAAAGGAAGAGTAAATTAAACCCCCAAAAAAGCAGAAAAGAAACAAGAAAATTAAGGGAAGAAAATCAATGAAATTTGAAACAGAAAAATTCAAAGAAACAAAAAGTTGATTCCTTGAAAAAAAATCAATAAAATTGATAGACCTCTAGCAAGACTGACAAAGGAAAAAAGAAAGACATAAATTACCAATATCATAAATGAAACATTAAACCATAAGAGAGCTATGAGAAAATACAGGTGTATATTTAATCTCTGGATAGAAAAGATAGAGTTAGTTTTTAAAAACCACACCCAATTAAGAATAATGCACTGAATTTTGGTAATGCCTTTTCCTTTAAACTGGTTTCAAGAAACCAGGACAATTGTCTTATAGGATCTTTTGAGAATGTCTTTGTGGTACAATCTAACGTGTTCCTTTACCCTCTATATTTCCTATAAACAGGAAGTTAGATCTAAAGGCATGAAAAATAAGGTTAAACATTTTTGGCAAGCGA